TCAAATCTTAACACTAGGCCAAGAAGACTATCCGGCTTTTTCTTACCTTTATATAGACTAAGCTGAGTCATAAGAAATTAAAAATTAAAAACATAGATGGATATAGAGTGGTTTAGCTAATTATCTTTCATACTTGATAATTAGCTAAACCACTCTATATCTATCTATGTTTTTAATTTTTAATTTTTTTTGGTTTAGCTTAGTCTATATAAAGGTAAGAAAAGAGGCAAGATTGTTTTCTTGGCCTAGTGTTAAGATTTGACTTTTACAAGAATGACACCCAGCTCTGACGATGTCCATCATATGATATACGAAAGCTCAGCACGTTTTCACCCGAAACGAGGGAGGAAGTCCCGTGGACTGCGTTAACATGAATATCCTATATAATCTAACCGGCTGCAGTACAACGAGTTTCATCCGTCCTGATCTGGTGAGATCGACCAACGAATCTCTTGTTCATGCACTTTCATACGAAATGAAGGTCCCTTTAACAATGTTATCTCAGGAGATTCATCAAAACCCAGTTTCTCTTCGTATTGTATCTTACATTTCTTTTAAAAATGGTATGTGAGTAAATTCTGGAAATACATCCTTCGCGCACCATCTTGTGGCCTTGACCCAACTGCGTTTAGTATGTGCAAACGAATACAGGCAACCGCGGCAGTATGATGAGATGAAACATTTCAGTGCTTTTCGAGACGAAACTATTTTTCAGTCACAAATGCATCCAGATCGCATATCATACATATCCCCTTAATTTATTTTCGAGCATGTAGGAGCAAGTTCATAATTTCATACCTTTAATTTCGTTTTGAAAATGGATATAACGGGGTCGTAAATTAGCCAAAAAGGAAACTGAGGAAGGATTCATGTTGTGATACTCTTTGTTTCGTTGAAAGAGGCGAGTGGAGGGGAGGATTGCCTTCCATTGAGGACTATGGAAGTTCTTTGCATCTCATCCTTCGACTCCGAAGAATCCATGCTAAGAAATAGTCTGGCATGGCCTGCAAAGTATGGCTTCGTGCTCAGACGATCTCTGTGACATGATAGACGACGACTCGATGTCGAAGGACGGTGTGCCGAAGACATTCACAGTCACAATTCAAAGACAATCATCCCCTCTTTTCCATGAGACCATGGGATGAAATGTAAAGCAGGAAAATCAATCATGGGAGGCCTCGTTGAGAGGGCGAATTTAGATTAATATAGATTGAAAGTATCACAGCTGGTCAGCATTCTTGGTTTAGTGTTTGGTAATGTTTCCCAAAGAGTGGTTTTACGCTCTGGCGTTTAATCGAGGTTATTGGATGTTGAGCCAGCGACTTCTACGCACAAATCGACAGAAACGGCTTAAGTCAACTCCGGTTAGGCCAATCTACGAAGCTCTGATAATGAATTTTCTTAAAAATTATTGGCCTAAGATGCATCAGTGAGCCGAAATGTCTCGGTCATTACAGAAATGCAAAAGTACCAGGAAATATCGTCTCATCTTGAAGGTGTGTAAATGCTCGATTGATATAAGTAAAAGTGGAATAAGAATTCGAGTGTATAATTACTTGTTATTTCAAAATTAACTATGATGGGAAACACATACCTGTTGTCAGTGCATCACAGTTTCGTTTGGTTCTTGTTCGGCTGATAGCGAATCCAAACATGACGAAATTTTCGGGTCCTATTCGCCCAAAAGGCCGTCATCATCCAGGCTCAACGAAAACTTCATTCTTGTCTTACCTGGGTAGTCATGAGAAAATCAACCCTTTTCTTCAATTAATCGTGGACAGACAAGATATAAGTCCAATGTAAAAAGGGTCGAAACTGGTACACTTAGCTTGAAGCACAGGTTTGCCTTCTCATTGCATCCCCACAGTAGAAATGCGCCGTGGTAGGCTTGCCTCGAGGGCCAATTTTATCCGTCGATTAACCATACCGTCCAATTAAGCGTCGATTAAAACTACCTTAGGAATAAGCACGGTAAAAAACTGTGACAGTGAAGGTATGATAAAAGGATATATGAAATGTGAATAGGCCAGGGCAGAAGATGAGATACCATAACAGTTTAGCACG